ACCAAGCAGGGCCGGAGTGGGACTCATTTTCAGCCCTGGAGTTTCAAGCCAGACCGGCCCACCTCAGTTCACGACTGATTCCAATTCAGTTGTTAATGGCACTATCACGTTTTTTTCAAGAAAACTGCTGCTTTAGAAATTCAAATGTTCAACAGCCCTAACAGTATTTTATGTCTTAACAATAAAATCGAAAAAAAAAAAAAAAGATTTTTTATGGGAGATTCGATCATAGGTCTGTGAAACTGAAATGTATTGTGCTTACCACTGGACCACATTGGCGCTATTGCAGTGAGAGTAAAAAATAACTAATGGCTTGCCACCCTCAAGACACAGCACTACTTTCTTTTGATGGCTCAATCTTTTTCTCCTATTTTTAGATTTCTGATCAAGTTATGTCAGATTTATTAATGTAGTGAATCATTTGATTTTCATTGAGCAGGTGTATTATTCATTTTATTCGAATTCTTATATTCACTAAGGTGCCGCTGTTTGGGGTCGATAGTTGCATTACATCATCATCATTAACGTTAGTTAACCTGCAGGCTGCATTTTTCTCACGGGGCTGCGAGAAAATAAATAAAAAGAGCGGCACTACGGCAAAATAATGATTAAAAAAAGTAAAGCTATGGTCAAATAAATAAATAGAAGAAAAAAGTGTGACTGCTGAGAGTGCAAGCAGCTAGGGACACCGGCCCTCGCGGCCAAAAACAGACCGGCCCACCGGGAATTCTCCCGGTCCTCCCGATTAGCCAATCCGGGCCTGTTACCAAGCACTCTTGGCTGAAAGACATTAGGAGGACAAAGATTGTGTTAAGTAAGCTGCTATTTGCTTTCGATGATTGGAAAGTCTTACAAATAAATCTAGGCAGCTCTTACTTCTACACTTACTTGAAGGCAAAGTATTCAGGTATTATTCTGATGTGCTTTTTTTCACATTTTCATTAGGTTAGAACTCATTAAATTAGCATATGCACTGTTAAAAGCCCCATCATTTGATACAGCAAGATTTTTTTCAGTTTTTTTTATTATTATTATTATTTTTTTTTACAAAGAAAGAGTCTCTGTGGAAAAGACATGGATATAATTTTGATGTGATCAGTCATTTGGCAAACCCACAGCTCATCGAAATTCTGCATTTTAACGAAGCAAACCACAAGACAGACCTGTTGCTATGAGAAGCAGATAATGAATTGTAAACGTGACGGTTCACTCTAAGAAAAATAGCATTACATAAATAAATAAATATCTAAATAAATGTGATCATGTTGTTCATTCTGTACAATCAAAATGTTTTAAGAATGTTAATGATGTAATATATATATATATATATATATATATATATATATATATATATATATATATATATATATATATATATATATATATACAGCGTATATAGGCTATTTTTAAAGTCCTAATACTTATTGCTTGCTTATACTGCTGTTAACATACTTCTAGACATTGTTCAGATCTTGTATTTCAAGATCTATCAGGTTCTTTACTCTAAACATAACTATCACTAGAGCATCAGTGAATCTCAGTTTCTAAATTGTATATAGATTTGTTGACCATTTCCTCATTTTAACAATTTTTTACACACTGTTTTTTGTCCTACAGCTGTGTGTGGGTGAAACTGGGAACCCTGTCTGATTATGTGCTGAACAATAAAAACTGAACCAAATAATAATAAATACATTGGTAACGTTTTAGGGTGTACTCACACTATGTACAGTTGCCTTGAACTGGGCCAAAGCACACTTGTCCCCCCTCCCGTCTCCCCCGACGGACCGCACTCACATTACATTCAGGCCTGGGTGCGCTTACAGTACGTCATCGAATATGCGCTATTCAGAAGAGAAGCGCTCTCGCTCAGCACAGTGGAGATTTGTTCAGTTATATCATTTAAGTCGTTTGGGATGTGGTGACACGCAGTCAAAAATTTTGCCGAACAGATCCCCCACTTTAGACGCTCATAAACAATCATAAAGTCCTCGTGCTGCAGGAATAAGGAGGTTTGCTGGAGGTGCAGCTGTCGTGCAGTGAGGGGTTTGTGTCTTTAATTAAACTATGACAGCTTGTGTTCATTGAACAGTAAGAATGATTATTAATCCATATGAAACAGTCCCTTAAAAGTCACGTTTCACTTTCAGTTTCGGGCTCAGGCACGTTTTGCACTCACACAAAAGCGTACTGCGCCAAAGCCCAAGCCCAGAGTGTGAGTACGCCCTTAGTATAAAGAGGAGGGACCTATCCATATTATTACTGTACCTGACTAAACTCTCAGAAATGAAGGTATGCAAGCTGTAACTGGGGTGGTACCTTTTTAAAAGGTACACATTTGTAAAGGGTCCATACTGATACCTCAAAAGTATAAATTAGTACATAAAAAATTTAATAGGAACACTTTTGTACTTTTTAGGTACTAATATGTACCCTTGAGGTATTAATATGGACCATTTAGGCACAAATGTGTACCTTTTGAAAAGGTACCACCCCAGTGACAGCTCATATTATTTCTGAGAGTGTATTCAAAGTTCATATTCTGCATAATTTTATTCCACATCCCTAATTCAACCCAATCCTAAACTTACATGACTATTAATAAGCAGCAAATAAGGTGTTTATTGAGATAAAAGTCATAATTAATGGTTTGTTAATAGCAAGGATTCATTTTCCCTCAGTTTAGTTACTTATTTATTAGGGGTCCCCACAACAGAATGAACCGCCAACTATTCCAGCATATGTTTTACGCAGAGGATGCCCTTCCAGCTGCACGCAACCCACTACAGGGAAACATCCATACACTCTCACACAAACACACACACACACACAAACACACACACACACTGGCCAATTTTGCTTACCCAATTCACTTATATGTCTTTGGACTGTGGGGGAAATCGAAGCACCCAGAGGAAACCCAGGCGAACACGGGGCGAACATGCAAACCCCACACAGAAATGCTCAAAGCAGCGACCTTGAGGAGATAGTTCTAACCACTGTGCCACCATAGGAAAAACTGTACTTTAAAATAAAGTGTGACCAATACATTTAATTAAGGTGAAAAGATCGTTTATATGTGAATATTCACCACCCTTAGAGATATTTATTAAGCTTAGCATTATAAAAGGTCACAATATAGGTCACAATATAAGAACGCTTTGTGGAAAATGATAACAGCTGTTTGACCAAGATCATTGTTCTCTGCTCAAGATTAGATTTCTCAAAAGAGTTATCTAAAGCCATTTTCAGCCAGGTTCAATGCATGTCACTACACTAATTGCTTTGATCCATTAAATATACAATTTATAAAAACTTATTGCTTTCTGACTACAATACACAGTGCCTTTTAGTGAGAGCTGCATTGTCCGACAAAAGATAAACAAGGCATACAAAACCTAAAAATGTATCTTTAAAGGTCTACAAGGTGCGTTTTTGTACAGTTGTTGTATTTGTACCCCTAATGTTTTCTGATTATGATTAAAGGGATAGTTCACAACAAAATGAAATTTCTATCAATTACTCATATCCTTGTTTCAAATCTTTATGAGTTTCTTTCTTTTATTAAACACAAAGGAAGATAACAAAGCTGGACACTTGCAACAATTGACTTCCATAGTATTTGTTTTTCTACTGCCTTTCAGCTTTCTTTGATATATCTTTGTGCATCTTTAGACAGAAACATGGCTAATAATGCGGCAATGCTAATGCTATGAGAAGCAGAAAATGAACTGTTAACGTGATGGTTCACGTTTATTACTAAAATAGTAATGAATTAATTAAAGTGAGCATATTGTTCATTCTGCACTAGCAAAGACATTGTTCAGATGATGTATTTTAAGACCTGTCAGGTTTTTGTACTCCAAACATCACTGGAGCGTCAATGAATCTAAACCAGAGTAAATAAGTAAATTACAGCCTTTCAGCTTTTTTTGGTATCTTCTTTTGTTTTTAACAAGAAACTCATAAAGGTTTGGAACCACTTGAGGGTGAGGAAATAGTAAGTAAATTAAAATTTTTGGTCGAAATCTCCCTTTTTAAACTCAATCATTGGTGTGTGATTTGCCGGGCGATTATCAGGTCTTTACTATTTCGGTTTATTAGAAAACTTATTAAAACTGTCAGATTAGAAGAAATAATTATCTAAAAGTGTATTTCATATACTGACAATAATTGTCAAAAGGGAAATAAATCTGTGAATACCACAAAAAAATAAAATAAAATAAAATAAATAAATGCATGACAGGTCAGTAGCTGGTGATGTCACGTAAGGAAACATGCATCTGCACAAAATTCACCATTATTGTTTTAGTTGTCCAAACTGTTTTCAAAATGTTGAATTTTCAGGGACAAACACCACTGTTGATAAGCAAATTATAATGGCCAATTACTATTAAATGTTTCCAGCATGTAATTTTCTATGGAAATTATGCAGGGTCTGCTTTTATTCACAAACGTCAACTTTAATAATGTAGTTTTCTACTCACAGTTGATGTTTATCTTGATTTCTGTTAATTTTCTTGAACATCATGTTTCATATCTCAAAACACATTTCATAATTCAACTCAAACAGATACTGGTGTCCCAGTATAAACATACTCCTGCTTTTAATAGAACTTAAATGTAGCAATTGTATGATGGAAGTGATGGATTGTTGAAGCATTATTATAATATATATTTTTTGTTTTGTTTTGTTTTGTTTTTTAAAATTAAAAAGGTTTATCTTTGTAGCCTACCTGGAGTTCTAGGGCGAATCTTTCTATCTCTCTTCTACTCTTTCTCTATTTCACTTTAGCCTATATCTATTTTAGCTTAATATCGCATTAATTTGAGCATGTAACTTTTCTAACATTCCACTAATATTTGTTATGTCTCACACTAGCAAAAGCTGCAATTTTCTGCAAGTGTAGGCTAATATATGCACTAATATGGACTTATTGGTCTCGCAAACCTCTAGCACTTTTATCCGAGCTTGTGCTCATTATCTGGATCTGCTCCACGGCTTTTCACGGGCCACGTCACGTCACGGAGGGGGAAGAAACGGATTCCTGAGCGCTGCTCGAGTTTCCTGCGATCACATCCTCAGACCTACAGCGGACCGAGACGTCGCGCTTTTCCTCCTCACAGACACCCAGGCGGCGTTTTTTTGCAAAAAATGGTGAGAAACCTGAATTATATTTACAACATTTTACAGCGTCAAAACAACTTGTGTCGTTTTGCCTTGCGTTTTCTCCTTTTGTAATGTCTTTTCCTCCGTTCTCCCTCTTCTCTCTGCCCGTTACAGATGTTTCGGTGTTTACCCGTGTTTTTCCTCCTGGCTGTAGTCTGCTGTCATGCCGAGGTAAGTTACACCAAACCCGCTTTTAATAAGGAGAAGAGCTCGTGTTTTTGGAAAAGAATGTTTATTGTGGATCCTGATAATAGTTTCTCTGATATCCGACTTGGCCAGAATGAACTGTTGAAGAAATGAGTGCACTAACTAACTAACATTACTTACAACAAAACAATGGATAATTATGATTAATGTTAAAACTGCGGCCAGTGTTGTTGTTTTTCCCAATTGAAAATGTTTTGTACATAAAGAAAAGCAACTTCAATGAGGTTGACTAACATTAGATCATTCCAGACGCCTTCGAGGAAAAAATAGAGAGGGGGAGAGACAAAAAAAGGTTTATTTTACATGCATAGAGCGGGTCGCACCTCATGTTGATATCACATGATCATGTGTGCACGTGACCGAATTGGCACTTAAACTAATATGCATATTTTACTTTAAAATTAGTATCAAGTCAGAAAGCATTTATGCATTCTGATAGAGAGCTCAGTATAATATGAAACTTATGGCACTCAGAATTTACCAAATAATAGGCAGATATATACAAAATATAATTGCACCTTTTGGCCATTGACATTTGAAGTAGATCATCTGTATTCAACAAAGTTTTGATAAACTATTGAACAACACCCAGTGTTATCTGTTTTTTTTTTTTTTTTTTTTTTTGAAGGACAGTTTGGAAAAATGTTTATGATTGTCTTCGAATGTTGACTACTTTTGTTTTAATTGTCTTTGTGCCATTTTGGCCAGATAAAAACCATCAATCATTGAGTCTTTCTTTCTTTCTTTCTTTCTTTCTTTCTTTCTTTCTTTCTTTCTTTCTTTCTTTCTTTCTTTCGGCCTAACTTTCTTTATAAACAACTTAATCTTTATGACCCAATTTGACACATAAAAAGTTAATACTTTCACCATTGTATTAAATGTATGTTTTTCTTGTTAATTTACTTGCAAATGGATGACTAAAATATGTATATTACATTTTGTTAAAATTTTGTAATCTTGTTTACGCTATTTAAGATGTTTGCTTTATATTCACTTACTAACATTACCTATTTGCGATTGTTTTCAAACTTCCAATTCAGTTGCCATAGAAGAAATTAGGAATAATAAATGGCAGAAAATGGTCAAACTACTTACTCTTCAAACAAGTGTGTTTATGACTAAACATAAAAAGTTGAATAATATAATAGGAAAACATCAGTTTGCAACATCAAGCAGCATAAAGAGCTGTTTTTAATGCCTAAAAATGAATGCAAGTGGATGATACTAAAAGTCTTGAGACAAAAAGATTAAAATGGCTGCGCCTGCTCATACCTAAAGAATAAGGTCAATAGAAAGCATATGATAAGGAGGGGTTATTAAAATTCCTGAACTAGTTAAGATGCCAAGATGCATGTCACAAAACCAACATTACATCACCTGGTTTGTGTTTGTGTGGTTAATGAACTCTGTGTGGTGAGACATTGGTGGTCTTTGCGTTGGGAATTGGAAGAGCTGTAAACAGACAGCTGTTAAAAGCAATCAGATCACAAACTGTTTGGAGGTGTTTGGCCTGTGAGTTTACACTGATTTCAGTGCTCCGATGCAGCCGCTGATGGGGGCCATATGTTGTCTTTGTTAGTGTTGAGCTAATTGCGTCCTTTCGCACTGTGGTGCAATAACAACCTGCCAGGTGAGCTGCATTAAATGTCACACAGCTAGAGAAACACAATGCATACAGTACAACGGCTTACATTCTAAAGCTGTGTTTTTTGTTTTTAAATGGGGTTTTAGAATAAAAAACGCTCCTTGATTCACTTTGAATGTTCAGCTTTAATTCTCTTTGTCTAATTTTGACCACTGATGAAAACCATAGATCATCTTTCTTTCTTTCTTTCTTTCTTTCTTTCTTTCTTTCTTTCTTTCTTTCTTTCTTTCTTTCTTTCTTTCTTTCTTTCTTTCTTTCTTTCTTTCTTTCTTTCTTTCTTTCTTTCTTATCAATACACAAAAGTCCTATTAACACAAACATAATATTTAAAGCCCTATTAACACAAAAACATAATATTTAAAGCCCAATTTAACCCATAAAACAGTTAATACTTTTCACCTTTGTATAGCATTTATGTATTTTAGTTGTTTATTTACTTGCAAATAAACGACTAAAATATATTATATTTAGAAATAAAACGCTCCTTGTCCAAGCTGCTGTTTTTACTTTGTTTCAGAAAGTCAATCTCTGTTTACGCAATACTGCCTAAAACACATGACGTGTGATCATTTATGCTCACTGGGCATGCACATAGTTTGCCGGCATCCATACTTGCAGTCTACTAGTTGTGTGATACATGAAAGTGGCTTGACGAATCAGGAAACGATACACAATAGTCCAGAAGATTGTGATATTGGATAGCCGTGACTAAAACAGTCTTTATTGGTTTCAAAATGCTTAATTTTCATGGGTCAAAGATGCAGGAGTAGTGTGGATGGCAGGTAAAACATATACAAAACATGTACATGAAATGGTGTAAATGTTGCCTAAAACATTAAATGTAACCATCGATCACAAAGCTAGTCATAAGTGTCAGCTTTTAGAAATTGAGATTTATCAGTCAACTAACAAAATCAAATGTTTTTTTTTTTGTTTTTTTTTGTGAAAAATAAAAACCATTAACTTTAGGTTCAGTATATTTTTGTTTATTAGCCACAAATGTTCCCATGTAACATAAGACTGGTTTTGTGGTCCAGGGTCGCATATTGTTATGGACTCTTTACACAATTTCGGGTTTCTCAGCAGTGAAGTCGTCATAGTTGAGTAAACTTAGAGCGCAAGACTTTCAGAAAAGGGTAAAAAATAGTGTGAGATGGATAACTTCACTCCGAGGAGAGAATAACATCGAATTTACTCTCAGCCCCAATAGCTGCTGCATTAATAGAAACACCTCGCATAAGCAATAATTATTTTTTTTGACACAAAGATGATAAAATGCATACATAGATGCATATAAATGTTCATACATTTTTTTATTTGTATTTTTTAAATTAAAATATTAAATATGTTTAAGGATTTAAGATTATGATGAACGTTAAATGCGTCTTGTGAATAGGGTCCATCTATATCAGTGGTCACCAAACTTGTTCCTGGAGGGCCGTTGTCCTGCAGATTTTAGCTCCAACTCTAATCAAACACACCTGAACAAGTTAAATCAAGGTCTTACTAGGTATGAAACATCCAGGCAGGTGTGTTGAGGCAAGTTGGAGCTAAACCCTGCAGGGACACCGGCTCTCCAGGACCAAGACTGGTGACCCCTGATATATATGGTCAGAGAAAATTACTTCAGCATTTATTTTTCATGAAATCCAAGATAATGGCCCACAACTAGTGCTGTATTAGGGTGTGTTCACATTTGGCAGGTTTGGATGGATTAAAGCAAACCTTGCTGAGATTGTTTTGCTAGTGCAGTTCAATAGAATAAGTGTAAATACTGCCATTTAAACAATATGACTGCAGACGAATGAAAATGTCTCTGGTCTGGTTTGGCTGAAATATGAATGCACTGCAGACCAAAGACATTTAAAATAACTAAAAACAGGACATAATCTCATTAGATGCGAGTCATCCGACCATAAAAATGATGTCCTCATTATAGTCCTGTTGCTCATTACAATTTATTACATACAGCAGATCTCCATTTATGCGTGTAATGAAGAATATACTGATTTTATAAGCTAAATAATAGTTCTCGGTTCACTTGTTGTCCACAAAGGTTAGATGGCAGTATGCACTCCTACTCAAATGAATGGGTTAGCACTAACAAATAGCGTTTATTTTATTCCAACTAATCCTTCCAAATGTCAACACAATAGCAGCAAAGCATTCTCTTGGACCTCATTAAAAATAAATACTTAAGTAATTTTCTTTGTTCATATAAAATGCAATACAGTGTTAGAATTTATGCATGAGTAACAATACAGGTCCTTGTGAAAGCTGTCCCCTGTGTCAATGACACGTGCATCAAGAATGTCCTTCCTGTGTAAAACATCTGTCATTTCTCAAACAAGCACAAATATACTGTGTGCTAAAAAACGAAGTGGCTTTCGTCCTCAAAATGCATCACATTAGATCACATTTCTAAGCCTTATTGTTTTTTTATCTGAATATAGAGTACATTTGCATTGAGAGTGTGAATTACAATTGTATTACAATACGACATGCACAATATTGTCTGGTATATATAGCGTCCTAGAATAATGAGTAAGTAATTTCATGCTGACAGGCTTGATAAGGGAATACGCAACTCATAATGGGTGTCATGCAGCCCGCATGATTCCACCCTCCGCTATTCACATAGCTCATGCTGTGGTTTGTCTCCTTCTTGTATCTCCCTCAGTAGGGGCTTTGGAGCTGTCAGAGCGTGTGTTCCCTAAAGGCGTGATGTGCTGCATACAGTACATAGACAAGCTCTTAAAGAGTGTCACCCTAAATTAAAACACACTGCATTTCCTAGTCCTAAAACCTAAATTTGCTCTGGTGGGAATTTTGTGGTTGCTTGAAAGAGAGTTCACATTTTAAATGCAGTTTATATGTGCAGGTATAAAAGGAGTTTGAGGCAAAAGAAAGTGTATCTTCTGCATTTTTTTGTTATTCTGTTATAGTTTATTACAATTCAGTCCATTATCCTTGACCTTGTATATCAGAAGTATTTTCACCATTTATTTTCTCCTTAAGATTGTAAAGAAAAGTGGCCCTACTTTGCTTTTAAAAAGGTTCCTTGTTTAGTTTTGAAGGTCTCCTGCAATCGATTTACATGATTCATGGTCAAAAACACTTTTACCTCAAGTGTTCTGTCTCTCTAAAATGCCTCCTTTTCATGAATATACTCTGCTTTGAATGGGTCACACTATAAGGAACAGTTCTTGCTATTAACAAACCATTAACTGTGGCTTTTAGCTCAATAAACTCCTAATTTCCTGCTACAGTAATTAGCATTTGTTGTTGTTGTATTTAAGTAATGGGTGGGATTGGAGGT